AAATGGCATATTTAGGCGACACATCCATAATTTACATTTGACAACTATCACACGATGATTTAGACTATCGAATGCCTAATACTAAAATCTAGAAGGGCTAGTGTTATTATCATATGCTGATCCCGTGTCCTACCAATTTTGTCTGTCAGCTGCACCTGCAGTATCGTAGCCCTTTCGGAAACTACATAGCATTGATGGTAATATTTGAGATTCCCATAGATATTCATTTATTTGAGCCTACGTTCCCTTCTCCAATAATTTGGAAAGCACAGGTGAGATACTAATTGGTCTCAGATCAGCATATTATGATGTGGGATTACGTTTTTTTTTTGCAAGAGGTAATATTAGTGACTCCTTCCACGATTCAACAAATAATCCGTTCATTAGACAATAATTTATAATATGCAGGACGTGGTTCGAAATAACGGAGAAACATAATTCAAGAATCCTGAGCGATATACCGTCGCTTCCTAAGGATTACGATTTTATGGATCGAGAGTATGAAGTCACTTATATTGATTGGTTTAAAGTTATAATGATTTTTGTCATAGTGTTCAGTTGTCTTTGTACGAGAAATAGGCTGCTTTTTCACTTCTGATTTTTGCCAAGGTTGAATTTCTTAGTTGCTAATAATGTTTCCATGATACTTCCGAGTTAATAAATCTAAACTGACTGAAAGCTATGTTTGTCTTTTTCATTAAAAGTTTGAGATCAGGAGTGAGCTAAGGAGCAAGTCGTTTATTACACGTACAATTTTCCAAGGTGCCTGTCGATCAAAAATAAATTCTATCCCATCAATTAAATATGTGATTTTGTCATCAATATCATTGAAGGAATATATGCTATCACAAGAATAATTGAGAATATCATTTTGAAAGCTAGTAATTTCAGAGTGTTTGAAATCTCTGAATTTCACAAATTTTAGTTTGGGTTCTAGAGTTGTCTCACAAAAAACTAAATTATAATCAGTGGATAGATCCATGTTTTAAACACATGTTAATGTTATTTAATATTTGTTGTTGTTGTTACATAATAAGTAGTAAAAAAATATAAAAAAATAATTAACACCTTGTATAATTAGAAGAATATATAAACGCCCCCACTTTTTTTCTCCGCCTCCACTGGACCGATTTTCAAAAACTACAACGCTTTTTCTTCCTTGACATAGTAGTAACATTGTCTAGCAAGTTCATCAAAATCCGAGCGGCACTTCTCAAGTTATAATCGGTAATGGGATTAGCGGACAGATCGAAAGGCCGAGAGACAGACGGAAATGAGTGACATGATTTTTCGTGATGTACATGTCACATACCATATAAAAAACGTAATATCTCATTTTCGAGAATTTCCTACATTCCAATACTTCCCCGCGAGTAAGCGTGTGTAGTAAAAAAATTAGACAATTTTAGATGGTGCATGGCTTAACATGTTTTTATTTTCGATTGATGATTATTGATGCTATACATATGATGGGTGATTTTTTTCCTAGTATCCTTTTGGCAACATTGTTTTTGACAGATGACGCGTGAATCGTGTCTTGTGTCATTGTCAAACTTGTTCAGTTTGGTCTGTAATTTAACCACGAATCGACTTACGAACGAACAACGCTTGCAAATTATTGAATTTTACTACCAAAATTCATGCTCGGTTAAGAGAGTGCATCGAGCACTGCTTCCAATTCATGGGCAATTTGGTCGGCCTACTGAGGGAGCTATTCGGAAGCTTGTGACTAAATTTCGAACCCAGTTTACATTATTGGGCATTAAACCACCAACACGCAGACGTAGAGTGAGGACTGAAGAAAATATTACGGCTGTATCCGCCAGTGTTAGTGATGACGGTGAAATGTCGATTCGCCGCCGTTCGCAGCAATTGGGCCTCTGTTACTCCACTACGTGGAAAATTTTGCGACAGAATTTGGGTGTAAAACCTTATAAGATACAGCTGGTGCAAGAATTGAAGCCACACGTCCTCCCACAAAGTTTCCAATTTGGTGAATGGGCGCTGGAAAAGTTGGAGGAAGATCCACATTTTTATCGAAGAATTGTGATCAGCGATGAAGCTCATTTCTTGTTGAATGGGTACGTTAACAAGCAAAATTGCCGCATCTGGAGTGAAGACCAGCTAGAAGCATTGCAAGATCTACCAATGCATCCCGAAAAAATCACTGTTTGCTGTGGATTATGCGCCGGTGGCATCATCGGGCCGTACTTCTTCAAAGACGACAATGGCCGGAACGTAACTGTGAATGGAGAGCGCTACCGTGCGATGATAACTAACTTTTCGTTGCCCAAAATGGAAGAGCTGGACTTGGCTGACATGTGGTTTCAACAAGACGGTGCCACATGCCACACCGCACACGAAACAATGGCTCTATTGAGAGGCGAGTTCGGTGAACAGTTTATCTCACGTTTGGGGCCCGTCAATTGGCCGCCTAGATCGTGTGATTTAACGCCGTTGGACTATTTCTTGTGGGGCCATGTTAAGGCTAATGTCTACAGGGATAAACCAGCAACGATTGACGCACTGGAAGCCAATATTGAAGCATTTATTCGTGAGATACCGGCCGATATGTTGGAGAGAGTGTGCCAAAATTGGACCTTGCGCATGGGCCATCTAAAGCGGAGCCGCGGCCAACATTTACATGAAATAATCTTTAAATATTAAATTATATCGACCGTTCTGTCGACTCTAATAAGGATCTAATCGTTTTTTTCAGATTTTTTGTGTTTTTTTGAAAATCAAATCCTATACCTCTTAAAAAATCACCCGTTATATACACTACTCCCTCTAAAATCTTGTATAACTAGACATAAAACACGTTTAACTCAACTTTATTTCTGTAACTTATTTTCTGGTAGTCTCTTTAACCAGACGTTAATGGGAACCAAGTCTGTTTGATAAACCTTTATTAACGTTCCGATTGCATCTGCTGCTATTGAGAGAATATGAAGATGGGTTATATTCTCTGTAGATATGAGGATGGTCTGAAAAGTTTCCGAACAAAGATACAAGGCATTTTTTATGATTTTTTTAAAATTTTTCAACATAGTCTCTTCTCCCAGCGATGCTCCCATCTCTGTAATCCATACAAATCGTACTCAGCGTAAATACTGGTGTAGAAACTGCATACACCGATTCCAACTCATATTTGATTTGTGTAGCCGTATTGCCTTTCGAAAACAAATATTTAATGACAGCTCGATACTCGGTTTTGTCCATTTTTACAAAAGCACTCACATCAACTCAGTCAAACGACTGTTAAATACGAACTGCGCGTCCAAAATGGCTGAAACTTTGGTCAGTAACTGTCAACAGTTGAACAACGAAATTCACTAGCTTTTATTTACCACTGCTGCAATCTTCACGTTGAGATCGGAAACTATTCAGACCACTCTCGTATAATCAAAATATAAGATGGCGTTTTAGAACCTATAGAAATTTTTCGCAATACAAATATTGTTCTAAAGAAAAAATCAATACTTGGTCTAAGAAACAGAAAATGAATGAACATCAAGGATTTTTAAATATTCTGTTCAATAGTAGCAAATATATTTGGTGATCCGGATTAAAAAAAAAAAGAAATCTCACATTGTGGTTTTACCTACAGTGTTGATTTACCAATCATTAAAATATCTCTTCTGATTACTTTTGTTTTTATTAGGAAACAAGAAAAAATGAACCTCATTCGATGTGGGAAGAATGTTTCCGTGTCTCATGATCTTAAAAAATTGTTCTTAAATTTATGTAGTATCCATCATGCTAACTCAAATAGACAGAAAAATCAGAGCCCTAAAAGAAATTGGAAAATTATATACAGGGTGTCCCGCGTAGAACTGCGGCGAACGATTGCCCAAAACATTGACGCATGACAAATTTGAGTCTGTATGTGGGAACAATTCCGATGAAACATCTTCTGGTTGTACATACTAACATGCTTATTTTACATGTATATTATTTACATTTTGGATTTGGCGCGAAATTTTAAATCCATATTATTATATATTTTAATTTTTTGGTAAAAATAACAAACGCAATGAATTATACAAATTTTTATCGTATTTTTGCCTTTGCCATGTGTTTTAATGTCTTTTTATAGTGGGGGATTTGTTTCAGTATATTTCATTTCAGATTTGGATAACAAATGGTACATAAAGAGCGGCTAAATACAATAGGTTCTGTACTTGTAGTTGGTAAGGATTATATTGCGTTTCTTACGTTTATCGCATCACAACAACGAATGTGACATGATACACTCATCCTAGCGAGCTGAAATTTTCAAGGTTCATTCTACATGAACTGAAATAGTTTTTACAATAAAATGCATAATGAAATACAACCTCTATTTCTTTTACCGCCCTCCAAAGTTGAGGGATGGAAGAGATTTAACACATAAAAATGAATTTGAATTTTTTGTGTTATTTTCTAATAAGCTCTGTTAAAAAGTGACATAGCCATTGCTAGAACTAACCATTTAGCTGATCTCAGAGAAAAAATCACAGCCCTAAGCCTACTGGTTTAGTTGTAATTGCGATTGAAAGTTCATTATCCTGTTCTTTTTCGAAATTTCACAAAAATGCAAATATCTCCTGAACTATAAAATTTCGGACCACACATATAGGGGTTCATTCGATAGACTTCCGTTGATCCACTACTAACTCTGCACCCTATATACTGCATCTGGATTCGAGTCGTGTAAACGTGTTTTTGGTCTGTCTGTAAAAAGTGTATATATCAACGGATATCATGTGATTATTGCAGTGAAACTGATTGTGCTATATAGCTTGTGCAAAATCCTCCAGGACAATAAAATCTGTGTAAGTTTGGTTGGTGTATTGGAGGGTTTTTTCTTATTTCCGTTGCATCAGTTAGAGTGCTATCAGAACACAAAAACTACATTCCTGGGTACGGTCTTTCTTCGTAATGTTTTTTTTTGTCATGTTCTTTGGAAATAATGTATCGCAATTAATAGTCTGAAGAAATTAGATCCACTTGTAAATATGGCATCTAATGCAGACTCCTGTGATTCCTGTAAAGACAACTTTGTAGTCAACTCAAAATACATTGAATGCAGTATATGTGAAGGCAGATATCATACAGTTTGCGTTTCGGTGAAGGACTCTTGGTTGAAGCTCTTTTCTGATTGGGTTAATTTTTCATGGAGTTGTGATATGCATTCTCAAATCCCAGTCACGTGAACAGCAACTGGCTTCTGAAATTGCAGCATTGAAAAAAGAGATCGCATTTTTAACACATGAGAAGAACTTGAGCTCTAAGATGATAGAGCAACTAGAATACACAAACAATCTCCAAAAATCAGTCATTGATTCGCATCATCAACAAGCAGCTCATTCCACTATGAATTCAGTTATGCTACCTTCGAGATCAACTGCTTCCTCAACGCTAAGCTTTAGCGATGCAGTCAAAAAAATACCGAACAGGTCTTCTGTCTTGCTAATCAAGTCTGACAGTAACTCTGGCAATAACGATATTCTGCGGGATGTAACAACTTCAGTAAATCCTGCTGAAATTGATGTTTGCATTAATAACACGCACAAAATAAGAAATGGAATTGCAGTTTACTGTCAAGATGAGAAGTCACTTACGGTTCATAAGAATAGTTTGGATAAGGAGCTTGGGTCCAAATATTCAATCATGGAAGCTAGAAAACTTAATCCACGTCTCCTAATCAAAAACGTTAACCTCGACGGTCTGGATTCGCCCGAATCGATAATCAATAATATTGTAGCCTTAAACAATATTGATAACACGCATCAATCTGACATAAAGTTCGTTACCAAACTTAAGCATTACGAGAGCACAAATATCGTCATAGAAGTATCTCCTGACCTTAGGAATATCTTGTTAAAGAAAAGTTTCCTGTTCATCGGATGGAAGAAATCGCCTGTAAGTGATCATATACGTGTGTTGAAGTGTTCTAAGTGTTGTGGTTATGGTCATACCGATATAAGCTGCAAATCTAATGTTGTATGTCCAAAATGCTCCCAAAATCATAAAGCTAAAGATTGTAAATCATCTGTTTTCCAATGCATAAATTGTCTTAATGTTAACAAAACCAGTAAGAAGGGTCTACCAACTGATCACGCATCTTACTCTAGCTGTTGTGCTCTTTTTAAAAGCCATTTTGTTAATTTGAGAAGTAGAATTAACTATGGCTGACATTATTAAATTTGTTCACTCTAATACCAGATCAATTCTTCCTTCAATGGCGGACCTTTCTTTCATGGTTAATGATATGGATCTCGATGTAGTGGCTGTTACAGAAACATGGCTGTCTTCAGACTTCCATCGTCGTGATTGTGGTAGTCGCGGAGGTGGGGTTGGTTGTTATGTCAAAAATCGTTTTTCATCAGAAATTCTATCGTTTAAGGAATATGATCGTACTTCTCTAGAAATGCTTTGGCTCAAGGTTCGTATTGGCCGTAAATGTATTGTAGTTGGTGTTATTTATAGACCGCCTCGGGGAAGTTTGGATGTTGCAGTAAGTATATTAGATAATATATTGATGATAAGATTAATCAGTGCTTTCAATCTTACAGCCTGCACCAGTTATTGAATGAACCAACTCGAATAATTGATCATTCTTCAACGCTTTTAGATCCGGTTTTCTTTAACTGTGCACAAAGATGTTCCAAAGTGGGAACTTTCACTGTTAACTTTAGTGACCATCAGGCTGTATTCTGTCACATTTCGTGTAAAAACAATAAACCACCACCTAAACTAATTACATTTAGAGACTATCGCAATTTTGATCTAACCTCTCTTGACGATGACTTATTTAGCGTTAATTGGGCTGAAGTTATTTATATGGCTAATATCGATGAGAAAGTAAAATTTATTTCCGATAACATTGTAGGACTTTTTGAAATACATGCACCACTAAAAACAGTGAGAGTGTCTAAGCCTCGTGCACCATGGCTCACAAACAATTTGAAAATGATAATGAAAGAACGAGATAAGGCTTTTCATAAATATAGACGGTCTCGAACGGATGCGAATCGAAATCATTACAATGAACTGAGAAATTTTACAAAAACTGCTACACGTGCAGAGAAATCAGGCTACCTTCAACATCTATCTCGACAAAGAAACTCTGCAGCTCTTTATAAAGCTCTTAAGTCATTTAGAATTCAGGATTCTAGTAATACTGACATTCCAGAAAATTTAGCAGTTCCCAATGAAATAAATAACTATTTTACCAGTATATTCCAGAAAAGTGACGATGATTGCTCGGAAACTATCGAATTTTATAGCCATAACAAATTAAACCAAGATTTTTATTTTCAGTTCCGTCTTGTCGATATATCTACAGTATTGGATGCTATTCGCAGTATCAAGTCCAATTCTAGTGGTATTGATGGCATTACCATTGAGATGATTAAATTGTGTCTACCTGCTGTAGGAATATACATTTTGCACTTAATAAATTGTTGTTTAGAGCGCGGTGTTTTTCCAATTGCTTGGAAGGAAGCATTAGTGCAACCTCTTCCAAAGATTCCCAATCCCCAGGTTCCTGGTGATCTCCGACCTATTAGCTTGCTGTCAGCTCTATCAAAAATTCTAGAAAAAATAGTTTATATGCAGTTGAATGAGTATTTACTCGAACGCAGCATTTTGCCATTAAATCAATCAGGCTTTAGAAAGGGTCACAGTACCACTACTGCTTTGGCACGGGTTTGTGACGATGTACTAACAGCGGCGGATAGGCAAGAAGCAACTGCATTAGTCTTATTGGATTTCAGCAAGGCTTTTGACATCCTGAATCATAAGCTGTTAGTTTCTAAATGTGAATACATTGGATGTGACGACTTGGTTCTGGAATGGATAGATTGCTATTTAAATGAACGACATCAATATGTCGTCATACAAAATAAACTTTCAGACAAAAGGCCGATTTGTTCCGGCGTGCCTCAGGGATCCATATTAGGTCCACTTTTATTCCTTATATACACCTTTGACATTTCTAACACCCTTCAACATTGTTCTGGTCAATCATATGCTGATGATATGCAGGTTTTTCATAATTTCTGTCCGAACAACTACCATTTAGCTAACAACCTTATCAATCACATATGCTGCAAAACATAATTTACGTCTAAACGCATCGAAATCGACAGCTATACTTTTTTGCTCCAAGAAAAAACGTACTTTCCTCAAATCAAAGTTAAATTTATCACTAAATAATAGTATCCTAATATTTTCCGCAAAAAATTTAGGTTTGTACTTGGATGAAGATTTCAGATTTCAGCAGCATGTTGGCTATGTGTGTAAGTCTAGTCATTTTAGACTCAGGCTTCTATATGCAAGTAAAACTGTTTTAAATAGAAAAATTAAGAAAATGTTATGCGAGTCACTCATACTCAGTAAAATCGCTTACTGCAACATAGTTTATTATCCCTGTCTGGATGAAATCACAAAATACAGACTGCAAAAAATTCAGAACTCATGTAGTCGTTACATAAACAATTCAAGAAGGTACGATCATGTTTCTCATTCAATATATTCAATGAATTGGTTGAAAATTTCTGATCTTTTCAAATACCTACAACTTTGTTACATTTGTCGTAAAAATATTAAAAACTTCTGTTCCGGTTTATCTTATGCAAAAGCTTGTTCGTAGGAATTTAATTCACAATTTGAATACGCGCAACATTAATCTCCTGACAATGCCACAACATAGGACAGCCATTTTTCAACGGTCTTTTACGTATAATGCGGTGAAATTGATCAACTCTTTCGAACAATGTTTCATCAGCAACTTTTCTAAAAAAAAAATAAGAACTACTGATTGAGCTCTTAGGTTATTGTCTTCTCTTTGAATCGTACGTATTATGTTTTTTGTTCTAATCGTACGCATTATGTCATATTTATTAATTCTTCTTTTACTATTATTCTTCTTTTTCCTTTTCTTTTTCAGTTTTTTATTTTATTTTTAAGGTAGTAATAAGCATTGACATGACATTTATGGTTAAGTATAAATGGCCATTGGCCAGACTTCGCCATTTGTAAGGATACATAATTATGTATGTGTTACAATAAAGTCCATTGAATATGTTCAAAACAGTGTGTCGTCTATTTCAGAGGTCTTTTGCTTTTTCAATTAGGAATAGAAATAGTGAGTAATTAGTTTTTTTCATTTCAGAATTATCTGAAGACTTGGTTCTTCAAAGTCTACAAGAAGGAGACGTGGACCAAACCAGTACAATAGATGTAGAAGATGAAGTAGTTACATTCAAATTGAAGTATTTAGGTAATAACTGTGGTTTTATTTATAAGCAAAATCCGGAAACAAGCATCAACATAAATGATTCATTAAAAATCGTAATATACTTAAACATTCGCTCCATGAAAAATATAAGTGATAAATTGATGAAAGCGATCATGTTTATGAGCTTAGAAAGTTATAAAAATATTTAACTAATTTTCACTTTCATTGCTGAAGCCTATAAAATGTCTATGTTCTAAAACATTGAACCTTCGAAATCGACCTATTTTAAATTGAGTTATTTCTAACTTATAATTTTTTTCTTGATTTAAGGTAGCACAGTAGTAGAAAAAGTATCTGGAGAAAACATCAGTGTAGAAGCTGTTAAGAATATAATGAAAACAGCGAAAGCTAACAAAGGTCGGAAGAAGCTACAGAGGGTCAATGTGAATATTTCTCTGAAAGGAATCTCTGTAACTGACTCTCAAGGAACGGATATCTTGAAGATATCAGTATACAGGTAAAACAACTGAGCTTTTCTTACCGAGTGTTTCAAATTCGATCCAACCAATTGGTAAAAAATACAAAGTTGCTTAAATGGGGGCAAAGTTACGTAATTAGGTAACTGACAAGATGTTGCTTGAAAGTTTCAAAATTCAAAGTACTTTTGGAGAGACCCGGAAATAAACGAATTTTTCCAAAAACGTTTTATTGTTTTCCTCACTTTATTTTTAGTGGGATTTAAAAATAAATTACACACTAACAATGCCACTTTTTCTCCTCTACAAGATGGCATAATCAGAATTTCAATATGACGTTTCGTCTATTGTCCTATAAACCTTAGTTATTTCAAAAAAAAAACAAAAGTTTCTAGGTGGGCCTTGAATTTATCAGAGGTTTGGTATATCAGAATTATCACAAAATCATTTTTATTTTTTCGTGTCTTCATTCGAGATGCGATATATACGTATGAATAAATTCCATGTTGTCTTTGCCACTTTTTCCCCTCTACAAGAAAGCGTGTTTAAATTTTCCGTTTGAAGTTTCTTCTTTTAACTTCCATCACCAACTTTTTGTATACATACATATTTAAATAATACTGACAATAAAAATATTAGTTTGATTAAATATGTGAAATTTATTGCGACATAAATAAGTTATATTCATAACTTAACATAATGCAGAATCAAAAATAATGCAGAATCAAAAATTCTGTTTGATTGCGCAAAATGTCAATAGGGAGTCCATCCTTAAGGAAAATCAAAGTTGAGGATGGAGATCGAAAGCACATATACTAAGTGACATATAAATCCGAACACCCAGTTTAAATGGTTTTATTTTAATAAAAGTTGGTGAATGTATTTATCTTACTGTAAATAACAAGTGAAAAAATGTTCAGCCTTATCAGTTGGACATTCCGGTTTCTATACTGTTTTTTTTTAATTCACTAACGCTCTAAAAATGAATATTTCAGCCGCAGTAAAGCATCAACGTTGGCGGATTTTGGATCTTGACATCCTTTACGATCGGTTACGATGCCTAGAGTACGGAGACCTGTACGATTTCATCAACTTAGTGAGTTTGATAGGGGCCGTATAGTGGGACTTCGGGAAGCTGGACTTTCTTTTCGGGCAATTGCAGTTAGAGTGCAAAGAAGTGTAGACACTGTGGTTAGGTGTCGTCAGGCATGGCTTCGAGAAGGCCGTACGCAAAGAGCAAGGGGCACTGGACGCCGCCGTAGAACAACAAACCGTGAAGATCGCCGCCTAAGTTATTGGCCTTAAGGGACCGTTTCTCCACTACCAGGTCCATTGCAAATGTTTGGTTTGCAGAACACGGAAGACCTATTGGCATGCGAAGTGTTTACCGACGAATGAGAAGTTTTGGCTTGTTTTCATACCGGCCACACTGGCTCCTCACTTTAACTCGAGAACACCGACGTAATCGCCTTGAGTGGTGCAGACAACGGTCACTCTGGGATCAGGAATGGAACAGTATTGCCTTTAGTAACGAGTCTCGATTTTGTTTAGGCATGCACGATGGTCGTGCCAGGGTTAGAAGGCGACGTGGTGAAAGGAGGAATCCACAGTTTTTTGTTGAAAGACATGTTCATCACACTGTTGGAGTTATGGTTTGGGGTGCTATAGCTTATGGTTCCAGGTCACCTTTAATCTTCATCAGAGGTAACATGAACGCGCAGCGTTATATCCACGAAGTTCTAGAACCCCATCTTTTACCCTATCTAGACACCCTGGCAGATCCAACTTTCCAACAAAATAATGCCCGACCACATGTTGCAAGAGTCACAATAGACTTCTTTCAACATAATGATGACACATTGTTACCAGGGCCACCAAGATCTCCCGACTTAGGAGGACATTGACCACCTGATCAGAAGCATGCCTAGGCGCGTTGGAGAATGCGTAGCACATCAGGGTGCATCCACACATTATTAAAGGTCAAAGGGCTTTAAACCAGTGCAATCATTTTTAAATTTTTATCATTTACTTATTATGCTTCATTAAGTACTTATACAAAATTTTATTAAAATAAAACCATTTAAACTGGGTGTTCGGATTTATATGTCACTTAGTATATGTCTAATTGAGAATTTGACTACGCTCTCTTGCAGAGGAGATAAAGTGGCAGTGCCAATATGCAATTTAGTTTAAAATCCCATTTCAAATAAAACCAGGAAATCAACAACGTTTTCTCAATAAATCCCTTATACGAAGCAAATCACTATCTAACGATCCCGAGGCCTACATAGGAAATTATTTTTTTTTGAAATAACTAAGGTTTTCCAATGTAAACTCTATTTATCTGTGCAAAAATCCAATCTGGCATCCTCAAAAGAAAAAATATAGTTGATGGTGGTAGACAAGAGACGAAATATCATATTGAAATTCTAATTATTCTATCTTGTAGAGGAGAAAAAGTGACAATGTTAATGTGCAATTTATGTCGAAATTCCACTACAGTCGGGAAAATATTAAACCAATTTTCAGAAAATCCCGTTTTTCCCGTCTCTCTTCGGAAGTACTACGAATTCCAAAACCTTCTAAGTGGCACCTTGTTAGTCAACAATAATAATAATAATTCTAAAATAAATTAAAACACAGGTCGAATAAAAATTCTAATCCAAATGAAAACAAAATATTAAATTATATGTTCGAACAGACCTCCTTCTTGGGTTTGATAGTAACCTAACCTCTTGTAGAAGCCTGTGCGAAGAATTTCTGGTATAACATATTGGCAACGCGGCAGATTGTACGACCTTCTGCGTCACCGTTGCTAGGCAATGTGGTGATGACCTTTGCTCTTCAGCCTGCTTCTATCTCTTTCTAACTTGTGTTGAATACACACTTCTCTCATACACATTGAATTTAAGCCGTCAGACAAATTTAGTTTTCCCTGTATAGGCTCCTCGATCAAAATGCTAAATAGATACCAAGAAAGAAAAGTCCTTCTGACCTCGATGATACCCTGTGATGGCAATTGTTACAGCCTACTGTGAGATGCAATGTTAAATCCTCCTTTTAACGTTTCTCAATCATCACATCATCTATAAAGGTGATTCCAAAGTATAATTTGGGATGTTGGTTTCATATATGAACATTACTTGATTTTTTTGCAGAATCTCCAACTGCTCAACAGACCCCACACATCGCCAAATCTTCTCCTTCATCTCAACAGACAGCAATGAGACCATGGAGTGTCACGCTTTCATCTGCTCCAAAAGAAAAGTAGCAGAAACTGTCACATTGGCAGTAGCGCATGCCTTCAGCACAGCTTACGAAGCCTGGAAGATCCATCCTAGTGGGAAGGACTTCGGGAAGGATATTCCCAATGAGAAGGATCTTCCCAATGGGACGGATCTTCATAATGGGAAGAATATTTTCGATGGAAATGAGTTCGGGAAAGACATCTTTGATGGGAAGGATCTTTCCAGTGAGAAGGAGCAGAAGGAGAATGAAAAGAATCAGCTGAATCAACTACCTGAATCTATTGAGAAAGCAGTTGAGATTATCCAGGAGGAAAAACTGATAGACTTTGATAGTGAACCTTGTGGGAAAGAGGATTTATTCGGACAGCAGGATATTACTGCACAATGGGTAGGTATTTAAGGCCTCTGGTTGCCAAACTAACAATCTCGAAACAAATCTATTCTCAGATAATTGGCAAAAACGACTTGTGTAAAACTGAGTGACTTTATTACAAAACTAGCATAACTTCGACAAAATTCAAGCAAAGAGGACTCTTTATACTTTATTAATCTCTAGCTTTCAATGGACTTTGCCATCTTCATTAGGAGCTGCAATAACATTGAGAAGAAATAGCAACTATTGTACAAAATGATTATAAACTAACTTACAGTCGTATATGAGATTGTTGCTAAATGTTATTAACGTTTTGGTTGAGGGGAACACCCAGTAACCTGGTGAATGCTGGATACATGGTACATTCGTCAAAATTAATATACACTACACACAGCTGTATGTCAGGAACAAATTAAAACGGATTAAAATATTTGAAACAATCTCACATACGGCTGTAAGTTAATTTATAATAATTTTGCACAATAGTTGCTATTTCTTCTCAATGTTATTGCAGCTCCTGATGAAGATGGCAAAGTCCATTGAAAGCTAGAGATTAACAAAGTATAAAGAGTCCTCTTTGCTTGAATTTTGTCGAAGTACCCAACAAGAGGCGGAAACTTTATTTTTCACCTAACTGGTCTAAACGACAATGACCACGTCTATATATATACAGGGTGTTTCAGTTTATTGTTGCATAACCTTAAGATTCGATAGAACTTTTAAAATTAATGCATACAGTATCTATAAACATGGGTCGAAAAATCCGTGGCTTCCGAAATACAGGGTCTTTAAATTTACTTTCCAAAATAGCTTTTTTTTAAATATTTCGAACAATATTTGATGTATAACAGTGAAAATTGGTATACACGGGTTTTTTGGTACGACAAAACGAACCATGGGCATAGTTTTACTGTAGCCGCTAGAGGGCGCTCTCTACTGTACCTGTAGTGTATTAAAATGACCGAAAATTTTTTCTTAACGCAATTTTTTACTTTTTGAATAAAAAAACTGATTCTTCGCACTTTTCAACATAAAAAAGCTCTTCTGTGAATTTTCGTTATAGTTAGCCGTTTTTGAGATATTTCGATTTTTAAGGTTCGATGCATTTTTAATTATTTATGATAAAATAACGTTAAAAAGTCAGTATCTCGATAATTAGGCTGTGCCTGCAAATATTTTTGAAATTGAAAGCAGAATAAGGTTAAACGTCAATTAGTTGACAGTTAGTTTTGTTGTTTGTTGAAATCCGAAACGTTTTTTTGCAATTGTGAGTGCACGAAATTTAGTTTCTTTTACCTGTTTTTTTTTAAGTTTTATAAAAATGCCATTTTTATTCTCCAATCAAGAGTTAGCGGATATTCATTTTGTGTATGGCTTTGTAAATCGAAACGCAGCAGAAGCAGCCAGAGAATACGCACGAAGATTTCCAAACAGACGACATCCAACTCGCTCAGTATTTGTAAGAGTGCATCGCCAAATAATTGAAATCTCCGTATCCGTATGATTCTGCGTGAGTTTGATAGAGATCCGACCACAAGTGGTAGGAGAGTTTCTGGTGCCTTGGGAATTTTAGCAAGCCATGTTCACCGTGTTCTTAGAAATGACCATAGACGTCCTTACCATTTGCAACTTGTGCAAGGACTACAGCCAGGGGACGGAGAACGAAGAATCACATTTTGTCAGTGGATTCTTGATAGAACTGATAATAATAAGGGGTTTTTAAGTAACGTTTTATGGACCGATGAGTCATGCTTCACTAGACGTGGAGTGGGAAATTTTCATAATCAACATATTTGGTCGCATGAAAAACCGCATGCAGTTCGGGAAAGAAATTTTCAGCATGAATTTAGTGTGAACGTGTGGATTGATATCTACCGTAATCGACTATTTGGACCCTACCTTTTGCCTGCAAGGTTAAATGCTGCGACCTTCTTGGAATTTTTAAAGGCTGAACATGCAAATATATGGGATGATGTTATGTTAGATTTAAGAAGATTGGCCTGGTTCCAGCTTGATGGTTGTCCAGCTCATTATTCGAGAATAGTTAGAAACTGGCTGGACGAAAATTATCCAGAAAGATGGATCGGCCGTGGAGGACCAGTCGCCTGGCCTCCACGATCCCCTGACCTAAATCCATTAGATTTCTTTGTGCGGGGATTTCTAAAAGAAAAAGTGTACCAGACTCCCGTAACCACAAGAGATATGCTAAGGAATGCATGTTATGAAATAAGGCCTTATTTGAATAATGCTATACCACGTTCGATCATTCGTAGATGTGAATTGTGTATTGAACAATTAGGTTTACATTTCGAGCAACTACTTTAGATTTTATATGTTTGTTGTTAGTTGTAAATAATTAATTTAATTTGTTAAAAATAATATTAGAAAATTAAACAAATTAATATTTTGTTTTTTTGTGTTTATTTGGAGTTAGAAATTATTGCTGTGTTTAAAAACAAAACGATCATCTTAATAACTTGTAATGCCCAAATCGAAAATGTAAAAAAAAAATATTATTTTCCCATACATAATTAAAAATGCATCGAACCTTAAAAATCGAAATATCTCAAAAACGGCTAACTATAACGAAAACTTACAGGAGAGCTTTTTTATGCAAGAAAGTGCGAAGAATCAGTTTTTTTATTCAAAAAGCAAAAAACTGCACTAAGAAAAAATTTTCGGTCATTTTAATACACTACAGGTACAATAGAGAGCGCCCTATAGCGGCTACAGTAAAGCTATGCCCATGGTTCGTTTTGTCCGACCAAAAAACCCTTGTATACCAATTTTCACTATTATACATCAAATATTGTTCGAAATATTTGATTAAAACTATTTTAGAAAGTAAATTTAAACGCCCTGTACTTCGGAAGCCACGCATATTTCGACCTATGTTTATATAGACTTTATGCATTAATTTTAAAAGTTCTATCGAATCTTAAAGTTATGCAACAATAAACTGAAACACCGTGTATATATATATATATGTATATACAGGGTGGCTTTGAAGTTGAGTCATTAATTTTCAGATAATGATTGTAGAAGGAAGATAAACCAAAATACGTGTGTAAAAATAAAAAAAAATACAAAAAAATGTTACCTTGTTTTATAAAGTATCCTCCCGACAATTACTTCAGTGCGGACCTGTATTTGATCGTGCGGTCTTGGAGCACCGGCATGCCCTCCCCTGTGAGGTCTTAAGTCACCTGATTCACGAGCCCTTTGTACTACATTAACAAAGGCACGAGGGGTTGGTTGCACTCGATTGAGAAACCGATTTGTAAAGACTCCGCCCCCGTAAATAAGAATCATGTCCACAAGTTCAGCATTTTCGTAAACATGTGCCATTTTTTATTTCGTTTGAGCCACTCAACAAACACCACTATTCACTCACGCGTTACCGAATGACGAAAAACATCGTGATAAACGTTTCAAATTCTTTCGCTTTTTTGTTTCCGATGCGATGAACCGATATATTCGTTGTTGCCAAACAGGAGCACATAATATTATTATTCCATATCCAAAGGGCTATAACTTTGTTACTTTAATTTTACCAGAAAAATGTTAAAGGAAAAAAAAAACATTTCTTTTGATCAGATCTACTCACTGTTAAAATAAATGATCAACTTCGAAGTCACCCTGTATATATATATAGTTAAATAGAGAAACTGCTGCGACAAATTCTCATAGATTACGCTACGGTATCTCATTTTATCTCGGAAAATTTTTTGGACGCGGGAATATAGCATAAGTTAAACTCCTGCAATTTTTTAATGATATTTTTTGTTTACAGGTATGTTTTGATGATGATTTTGTGAATGAAACACCATCCAAGACATCAGCCTTCAAAGAAGTAGATCTGATTTTCGCTTAGCCAATTGAATTAATCATATTGATCTGAATTGCGCTTGATATTATTTATAATCTAGTTAAAATAGCTGTAATTTGTAAAATATTGTATGTATCACGCTGTACCATTTTTTATATGTATATAGATATCAGAAAGTTAATAATATAAAAAATATAGGAGTAAATATAAGTTAGTTAATGGAACATTGTTTTATTTGGATATCCTAATTCCGTCACAGCCCTCAAATATGAGGACAGGATAAAAAAAAAATAAAGAATTCGCATATTTCATCCGAATAACTGCAACTTAAATCTGACAACATCGTCAGTCGTCTATTCACCTCAACTATCTATCTTCCTCATACTTAATCCATTATTATCCTGTTATCGCCTCATCCGTGCATCTATAAGTACCTCTACGAGGGTCAATCACTATGCTGCAAACATAACCGTCTTGTAGTAATTTAATTTCTGTTTCTTAATTTCTCACATAATCCTACTAACATTAGTTCAATAAAACCGTCTAAACTGAATCCAAAATCAAGATGAGATGTAAATAATAACAGTTAGCGCGTAATCTCTCGGTAACAGGTGGGGACAACACCTCTTATTGGTCAATTCGCCATTAAATTTCAAGCGGTCGCCTGGCGGAATAATGCGCGGGGAATAGGCAGGGCAGGCAGAGTTGCACTCAGGCCACCGTCCGTCGCGTGTATCACTGCGTGCTCGTGTTTTCGTATTCACCTTGCTTGGTTGTTGCTGTTGTTGTTAAGTGTATTTGAGTAATTTATGTTTCTGTTTCTGTTAAATACTGTCATCTTTGTTTTACAACACGTTGGTGGTAGTCCATCATTCGGAGGTAGCCCTGAATGCGGCCCTGTACGCCGTCCTTCCGTCCTTGCTTTTGGTAATCACGCATCCATTCTATCTTGGGTGTAAATACACTATAGTTCTAGTTCTCCAGTTCATTTGAATATTCATTTTAGTATTGTTTTAATTTCATGAACAGCCTCAATGTTGTGTGGAAATGAGCTAATTTCTATTTTTTTCAGGCTTCGTTACGAACGGCATTTGTTATCCTATTCGATATCCTAGACCCTAGACTAAGCCCCGTATCGTCAGTCGTCCCTACAATTGTAGGGCGCCTTTATGGCCTCCTTGATTGTCATAGTTTTCTACTTCTCCGTGTCAGCGCTCTATTTTGAGGTTATGTCCAAACATCTATTTGCATCAAATTGTGCTTGCTTTTGAGTTATATCTTGTTTTATCAGCCTAAAATTTCCTACAATTTAAAAAGAAAACATATCTTCACAATAGGAGAGCTCTGACGCTGACACGGGACAATTGTAGGGACGACTGACGATACGGGCCTAAAGCACGATCGTATCCAGGCAACTAGTGACACAACCTTCTGCTTACATGGTTGCCTACTGTGGAGCCGGTCTCCACTTTCGTTCACCACCAGTCGAGCGTGGTGAGCGAGAGAAGGTGTGTTTCGAGAAATGATCAACTGGTTCTCTTAGTTCAGTCATAAGAATCGATCGTTTGAACTAGTTCGTCCGCAAACCTCGGATCACTATTTTTCAATCGATGTACCAATATATCAATATTTTTAAACTAAAAATATTATCCCACTGCTTTCAACTAGAAAACTGGAATTTTGCTAATTTTAAACCCATCATAAAAAAGGCAAATAAGACTGACCCTTACAACTACAGGCCTATAGCTCTACTTTCTGTTATAAGTAAGGTGATAGAGAGGTGCATAGTCCACAGGGGCTAGCTTAAGTCACGTAATTGTGGAGTAAACTCATCCAGTCTTATGGTGGGTCGCAGTCGCTGCTCTTATCCACGAAATCGTTCGATTAGTTGTGACATGCTTCCCTCTTATGCAAACTTCCATCCTCCCAGAGAAGCTTTGCATATGAGTGGCTGACTATCCCTCTGGCCGCAAGATATCCGCCTTAATTGACGAGTTTTCCTCTTCATCCCACAACGTCAACGCAGATGTTCCCCAGGGATCGGTCTTGACTCCGACACTGTTTATCTTACATATCAACGACCTCCTTTCCTGCACGATCAACCCAATCCACAGCTTCGCTGATGACAGCACTCTACATGCAGGAATTCAGAGTGACAAGCCGATCTCTGCTGGTGAGCTGGAATAAAGAAGACTAGCAGCGACTTCCCCTCTGACGATACTAGGATTTTTGAAAATAGTTCTTTACGACACTCTGTTCAACAGGATCCATTTCTATCAAATTATTCTTGTCGCATACGAACTAAAAACCACATATGTGTGGTGTGAGGTGAGCAAACGAGGCGGCGTGGTGCAACTAGAAAGCGATTGGAGATACCTTATACAGGGTGGCCCATCCATGTATGGACGAAATATTACTCATAAACAAATACATTTTGGGAAAATCTATTTATAGGATGTTATACATGACATTTGAGGGCGCATATTGGCCATTATACAGGGTGTCCCAATTTCGACCTACATATCAAAGCTGTAAGTGATTTTTTAAATAGACTGCCTCAAATTTTATTGCGTATTTGGATAAACCAATTCAAAAGAAGAAAATTGATATAACGTACTATGGGGTTTTGGTAATTAGCTACTGAGATATGGGTTATTTTGTCTAGAAAAACCCCCCACTTCAGCAACCCCTCAGTCCGCCATTTTGAAATTTGGAGTGCTGAATTCTATATCAAAAAAAGCTTACACACCTCAGCTTTTATCTTATTTGCTACTTTTCGAATTGTAATTTTTGGTCTTACAGGGTGATCAGCAACGCAGATTTTAGTTTTTCACAAAAATTTTAAATGCATCAGCCTGTATATTTGTGCAAGTTTGGATTCAATTTTTTATAAGCTTTTTTTGATACTAAACACAGGGGTTTTTACCACTATTTTTTCGGTTATTAACACGTCTTTTATGGAACGGCTTAATTCCCTAAAATATCGCATCATCCTTGGAAACAAATAAATTGTTGATTAATTACAAAAAATTAGATTTGTTAGCATTATAATGAAAAAGTGTTTGAAAATGAATTTTTCTAAAGAAGAAATGGTAAATATGGTGTTCGTTTTGGGCGAAGCCCAAAGAAATAGTATCCTAGCACCTCGCATTTATAATCAACGGTACCCTAATATGCGAAATCCAAGGCCGGAAACATTTTCCATACTACGAGAACGAGAACGTTTTGAATCAAGTGGAGCATAGTAAAAATGTATAAATAATCAGCAGTGTCACCAATGAAGCGAATCAGTTGGAGGTTCTATTAAAGTTGCAGGAAAATCTGAAAAAAAGTGCACGGCAAATTGGAGCAGACACTGATATATGCAGAACTTCTGTCTAACAGATTATTCACAAGCATATAGGTACCATCTATATCACCTATACTTGCATCAAGGCCTTCGTCCTCAGGATTTCGCAGCTCGAATGGAGTTTAGTAGAATAATGCTAAATAAAGTTAGTGAAGACAGTACTTTCCTGGATAAGGTTCTTTTTAGCGATGAGGCAACATTTAACAGCATAGGTGTTGTCAACAGGCATAACATGCGACCCATACTGCGTTAGGCAAATAGATTGCCAAAATAAATGGAGCTTGAATGTTTGGGGAGGAATTATTGGCAGACAAGTTATCGGGTCTTTCCTTTTACTTGAGTTTTTTAATCGACCATTTGCTTTTGGAGTATGTCAACCTGCAAACTCGGATGCATATGTGCTTCCAACATGACGGTGTACCTGCGCATTATCATAACCGTGTGCGTAACTACTCGTATTTGGACACCTGGAGTAACTATCGTTGGATCGGTCGTGATGGGTTTATATCTTGGCCATCTAGATCACCAGATATGATACCGATGGACTTCTATCTATGGGACTACGTTAAGCGGTAGGTTTATAGATATCCACCATCCACCCCGGAAAATATGAAGGAAAGGATTAAGGATCCTTTTCTGAACATAAGGGAACACATGCTGAGGGCTGTGCAACGGTCATTTATCCAAAGACTACGGCTGTGTTATTCAACATGGTGGAGATATGTTCGAGCAGTTTTTGTAGATTAGGTCTTGAGTAGTGATAGTTGTTTGTTTATGTTGTTGTTATAGTTGTTTTTTTCTATTACGCTTGAAGCTGATTTATACTTTTCTGACTGTTATTAGTTTTTACGTCAAATCTGTACTTAGTGGCAATATGGAACTAGCCCATAGTTTGTCTTTTTTTCCTTAATGTTGGTGTTATTCTATTAAAAGGTTAATAACTCAAAATCTATTGATTATATCTAAATCAAACCTTATACCCAAAAAGCTTATAAAAAATTGAATCCAAACTTGCTCAAATATTCAGGGTGATGCATTCGAAATTTTTGAGAAAATGTACAATTCGCGTTTTTGACCACCCTGTATGAGCAAAAATGAAAAAGTACCAAATAATATGAAAGCTGAGGTGTGTAAGTTATTTTTGATACAAAATTCAGCACTCCAAATTTAAAAATGGCGGATTTAGAGGTTGCCGAAGTGAACGGTTATTCTGGACAAAACACCTTATACCTCAGTAGCTAATTAGCAAAACCCCATATATCAATCTTCTTCTTTTGATATGTAGGTAAAAATTGGGACACCCTGTATAGTTGCCAATATTTTAGAAAGGTGCCCTCAAATGTCATGTATAACATAAATTGATTTACTCAAAATGTATTTGCTTACGAGTAATACTACGTCCACACATGGATGGGCCACCCTGTATATAACAAATCAGCCTGACTCGTTGACAGACCTAAGTGTTTTGTTAACGTAGCATACTAAAATCATTTGTTCTACTGCCAACAACACTCGACAACCCTCGTAATGCAAGCAAGTACAGCTGCTACCTATAATGCACCCCGCGATCTCCAATTTTAGTGATTTTTCAGTCGGAGATCTGGCAACGACGCACCGGTTATGCAGCATTCGGTGAGGGTTAAGCTCCGACTGACGTACTGGCGTTTCACGTATATGGCTCATGAAAACTGGCACCTTATGTGTGTCGTAGATATTTCGGATGATTGAAAGCCGCACGGAATACGAGGGTATTCAGAATTGTATGGATTGTTACAAATATGACTAAGAACTAACGTAAACTCAAGAAACGTGCAAAATTGCCCAATTTGCACAATCATAATAGTCTGCTACATAAAGGATATTTTATTTTATCTT